TCCCTATTTTATATTTGTAGGATGTTATGAAGTGACCTATAGAGCTGGAAAAGCAGCCAAGTAGCATTTCAAAATCCCAGCTTTACCGAGGAAGCTGAAATCAATCATCAAACTGAAGAGCATCAGACTAAGTCCAGGATTATCACCTGAATATGGGTTAAAAGCTAGGAAAAACAAAAACAAAAACCTGATAACCAGTTATCATTTTAATAGTTAATTCATATGGCTAGTCAATAAATCACCAGAAGACAGCATTTATCTTGTTATAATTTGAAACCAAATAGTGAGCATTTAATATGTATGAATAGTTAACTGCCTTTGCAGTTTTTGGTTTTCCATCATTAGCGTTAAAGATGAGCTAAAATACATGTGGACTCAGAGCCCTATTCTAGCTCCTCCTTTCCCCCAAGGGGCTTCCTATTATTTACATGTTACCTGTCTGTTTATTGATTGCGTTATGAATACATTACTCCATTTAAGGTACCTCTAGGGTAGGCAGGACCACATGGTGGTTGAGAGGTAATGCCCATGTGTCACCTCGCATAGCGGAGCACCTTCCCTAGAAATATACAACCTGCACCCCTGAAGGAAATCTGTAAATAACAGGAAGTACATCGGGGGAGGGGCAGGGTAGGAGCAGAAGGAGGTCCAGCTCACAGCTTAACCGGACCTAGTACTGGCTCTTTGTTTAAAGTCCTTTCCTATCAGTTTCTTCTTCCTCACCTTTCCTTCAGGTATCAGCGGTTCTTATCTGACTACGATGAGCTCTCAGGCTGGATGAAGGAGAAGACTGCTCTGATCAACGCTGACGAGCTGCCGACAGATGTGGCTGGGGGCCAGGCCCTGCTGGACAGGCATCAGCAGCATAAGGTAGAGGGGAAAGGCCCCCCATGGGGGAGGGGAAAAGGAATTTGGCTCCATGCCAAGAACATCAGCCGGTTTCTTGTTGCATTTTGAGACGTTTTTGTCCTGTGGCCACAGCATGAGATCGATTCTTACGATGACCGATTCCAATCAGCTGATGAAACTGGTCAAGCCTTACTAGACGCCAATCATGAAGCCTCCGATGAAGTTCGGGAAAAGGTAATCCAGTTGAATAGAGTCTGTGAACTTTCAATGGTATCTTTGGTCTTTATTTAATAGGATAATAATAGGGTAATTTCCGAATGGGAAGTGGATAGGTGTCTCCTAAACATGTTAGCAATATGGACCCAACTTTGGTACTGTTCCCTTTTACATCCTACTGTAGCTAAACTGAGTAGCTTGAAATTCTCAGGACATACATGTGTGCTTCCACACCTCTGAGCCATTATTTTACCAACTCCGTCTTGCACCTATTTTGACATCTCCAGACTATTTGTCTTGTTACATATGCTCTGTCTTACCATGTTCCCATGCTCATCTCTGGGTTGTAAGTTCCATGAGGACTGCACCTGAGTCACTGCAGGTCCCCGATACAGGCCTGGCACAGAGCTGGTAGCTGTACTTTTCTTCTCTCGCCCATATGACCTTAAATTAAGCTGGT